AGTCGGTTATGTCTGTGAAGGTAAACAGCTGGGAAATAAATCGCTTGTTTATTTTAGATCTGTGTGGCAGCAGCAATATACAGTAAATAAATCAATAAATCCACTGCTCTGTTATCTCCTCTGAGGCTGGGACTCTAAACAGTGTTCTGTGCTCGTCTCTGCAGCCAAACACAGAACAGTTAGCATGCTTCGCTCAAACTTTCATCATGGCATTAGAGCTAGCGCACCGCTGTCGCTTGCAAATCAAAATGATGGTGTCATGGGCGTAAACTTGCAGATTAAGGGGCGGTAATATTATAATGAGATTCCTTTGCCACGTCACCAAGGGAGCGAAATCAGACGTGCTCATTTTCTCAGAGGCTTGCAGAAAAAGGCTTACCAAAACAAAGTTACTGGGTTTATCTTTTTCATGTTTCCTTGGTTGGTAGATGCACCGGGGACCTGATTATAGCACTTAAAACCTGGAAAAGTCAGTTTTTTATGATATGTCACCTTTAAATTTTTTTTTTTCCCCATACAATGGAAGTCAATCGACTCCAATGGTTCCCAAAATTATTCAAAATATCTTCTTTTGTGTTTTGCAGAAGAATGAAAGTAATGCAGGTTTGGAATAACATGAGGAAACTTACAGATTAAGGGGTGGTAATATTATAATGAGATCCCTTTGCCACGTCACCAAGGGAGCGAAATCAGACGCGCTCATTTTCTCAGAGGCTTGCAGAAAAAGGCTTACCAAAACAAAGTTACTGGGTTCATCTTTTTCATGTTTCCTTGGTTGGTAGATGCACCGGGGACCTGATTATAGCACTTAAAACCTGGAAAAGTCAGTTTTTTATGATATGTCACCTTTAAATATTTTTTTTCCCCCATACAATGGAAGTCAATCGACTCCAATGGTTCCCAAAATTATTCAAAATATCTTCTTTTGTGTTTCGCAGAAGAATGAAAGCAATGCAGGTTTGGAATAACATGAAGATGAGTAAATGATGATAAACTGTCATTTTGGGTGAACTATCCCTTCAAGGGATTTAGAATAAATGTGTAGATCAAATGTGTAATGATGTAAGAACAGGGAAAAGAAACTATTCTTTTTCCCTCTAACATTTTGGGAGGAAAAGAGAAAAAAAAATTATATTACATTATGACATTAGGAAAACAGGAATAACTCATAGTGCATGCTATTTACCTGTGATTGATGAATATACTGGCGATTCAAATCTCGGAGCTCTGCCTCATTTTGCATGTCACCATTGGGTTTACACCACGACCTGTTGAGCTCAACATCAAACACATAAACTCCCTTCCAGTCTGTCATGGCACAAGCAATATAATCACCATCAAGTAACAAGATGATGACTCACATTAAAGATGGCATCAGACAATGTGCTAAAGCTTTAGGCCAGCTATGCCGAGTATCATTCTCTCTTTGAGAACAATGAAACCAATCATGTTTAAAAGGTCTTAGAATAAGATACATTAAAGCAAAAATAAAAAAAGGAGGACTAACAAAAATAGATGTTGTTTGCCATGTATTCAGATCATGTCTGCATGGGCATACAAAAACTTTTAGATCCATCAACTCCTCAAATCCAATTAACAAAAGACTTATTGGGAAAGAGCTGAAAACAGGAGTTTTTTTTTGTAGAAAAACATGCGTTAGATTGACAAGCAATGCCAGATTCTGAAGGATGTTTGATTATATTTTTGACTGCTTCTCTCTCTTATGGTCTGTGGAAATGTCTGGAGTCCAATACATGAGATCTTTAAATGGTGGGAAGATCTGCTTAAACGAAGAAGAATATAATTGATCTACATCAGTAGTTGAATAATATAGTTCTGGGTACAAATATATGCTCCAGAAAGTATCTATTTGAAAAGTCCATATTTTAGAAAAGTACGTATTGTATTAAAAAATAATAAACTAAAAAAAAAGTTTGTGAACACTTTGGAATTAGGTATATTTCTGCGGGGGGTTTTTTTCAATCTGCATTGTGAATGATTACTCAATAGGTGTTTGTTAGCTCAACTGTTATTTTTTAATTTAGTCAGATTGTGTTTGTATATATATATATATTATAGTTAATGACTTACTCTTTTGGCTTGTCTTGTCTGTTGCAATGTGGTGTGCGTCATTCTGCATCTACACTTGAAGGTGTCTGTGCAAAAACAGGAAAGAAAACGTCTCGGTTACGCATGGTAACCCTCGTTCCCTGACGGATGGAAAGCGCCGTACCGCCAACACGAAGAGCTCTCCAAGAGCGCACTGAAGAAATAACTTGTGTTATCAGAGAGAAAGGAAAAAGAGCGACAAAAAAAAAAACCCTAGACTGTTCTCAGTGTGAACCTGCTCTCATCTGTGAAGAGAATGGGGCACCAAATAGTGCACCTACTAAATCTGTTGCCAATCGAGCTGCACAGTGCTGGGCTGTGAGCACAGGTCAGGATGTCAGACTCTCATGCCACCCTCATAGAGTCTGAAAAATAGAGTGCATGCATAATTATTATGCATGTTGATATTCAGATTTTTTTTTTTTCCAAGCACATTTCACCAATTCCAAACAACATCAATCCAGGTTATCTTCTACTGATAAAATCTCAGATGGACTAAAAATGAACTCCCAAAACTTACTGCCAGATTCTGGAAGATAAATTCTTCAAACAGTGGTACAAGAGGATGTGGTGCTGGTCCTTCAAGAGTCACTCTCAATTTATCTGTCTATAAAGCCTATATATATAGAAAATCAGTCTTCAAGTATTTTACTACACTTCAGTATGTATTAATTCTTATTAAGTAGGGGTAATTTTTTTTAGGATTCTATACTTAAGCTAAGTCTCTGAGAACCTGACATACTTCTGGAGACTCCTGGTAGGTTGCAGTTTTGGAAAATGGTGGCGCTGGAGACTAAATGGTTCCTGGTGATTTCACACCTAATTCTTCACCTTTATTCCTAATTCTTTTGCAGTTTACATGCATCTTTTCTTCTCCACATGTTTTTGACTTACACTGCTGACCCACTGAGCATTTTGCTGTCCAATGGTTATGCATTAACTTTGCGATTTCTAGTATTGTATTAGTTTTGAATATTTCTCATGGGCATTTAATAATTTTTGACTTTCAGTCTGAGTTAAATCTCTTTTTTGGCTGTAAAATAAAATCTGCTTAATAATTATGCACACCTGAATATAAGACATTTTTCACTTCAGCCTTCAGCCTTCATGAATAATTATATATCAATTATAAATGATTAAATACAAGATTAATAGTAGTTATTAAGATTGATGCATTTTGGAATTGGTAAAATGTGCTTGGAAAAAAATAATTGTGAGATTGTGAGCAGAATTGTGGCAGAATTCTAATCCCATAAACGAGTAGCTGAGAATCTCTTCAGCAAGCCGACACGCAAACTGCCGTGAATGAAACTGAAAGTAAGACGCAGACGCTCAACACACAATCATCTTCATTAAAAGTAGTGTGACTAACCTATCTTTCCAGTGCTGATGCCGCGCGCTCTCCTATTGCGGGCTTTGATCTTGAAATGAGCTGATAATTAATAAAATGCAGCGCTTATCTTTTGATTTCGTTGACGTGAACTCCGTTAAATTTAAATATAGCGCGGTAATTGAAGATCGGATTTATATCCGTTTTGCGACGACACATTTATGTGGCCAAGTGTAAATGGAAACGTTTTAACAAATCAGATAGATATCCGATCAGCGAAAACACATGAAATGACCAGGGTATTGTATTAGTTTTGAATATTTCTCATGGGCATTTAATAATTTTTGACTTTCAGTCTGAGTTAAATCTCTTTTTTGGCTCATTTTATCTGTAAAAGAAAATCTGCTTAATAATTATGCACACCTGAATAGAAGAAATTTTTCACTTCCAGCCTTCATGAATAATTATAGATAAATTATAAATGATTAAATACAAGATTAATAGTAGTTATTAAGATTGATGTCCTTTGGAATTGGTTAAATGTGCTTGGAAAAAAATATGATCAGAATATCAACTTGCATAATAATTATGCATGCACTGTATTTTTCTGTATCCCTGATCTGCATGCAGAGAGGAAAAGGAGAGGGTCAGTTCTCGCTGAGGCCGGAACTCCCTCGAAGAAAGCTCACACTTGCTCTCCATCCCTCAGTTCAACACTGAGCGATGGAACTTCAATTCAAGCTAGGCCCGTCCTTCTCGTTCAGCTCGTGCCCAAGCAAACTGCCACTGTGATAGTAGACCTATACTCAAAAGAACATTTCTCCTCTCCTCATTACCAAGTATGTCAGTTCCCCACCCCTGTGGGGCAAACTACCTTTCGTAAAACTAGAGCCGCTTGCCATCCGGCTTCAGGCTACTCGCTTCAGTTCGGTTGCAGGCCACCTCGCTTCAGAGGTATTATTCAGACTTCAGTACAGGATAATGAACTCACGTTCTCCGGTCTGAAGTACAAACAGTGCTTGCAAAAGGAGCCGTGGAAACAGTTCCTCTAGCGAACAGCGAGTCAGGATTTTACAGCTGCTACTTCCTCATTCCCAAAAAAAGATGGCAGGCTCAGACAATTCTCGATCTCAGACATTTGAAACGTTCGCTTATGAGACGGCCATTCAAGTTTTTAACTTTGAAACAGATCCTCATGCAAATATGTCCTGAGGACTGGTTTCTGTCAATGGGTCTGAAAGACGCTTACTTTCACATCCAGATAGCCCCCATCACAGACCGTTCTTGAGATTCACATTCGAGGGAGTGGCCTATCAATATACAGTCCTTCCATTCTGACTGTCTCCTGGCCCACGCAATTTTACAAAGTGCGATAAGTCCCCTCTGAGACAGATGGGAATCCGCATTCTGAATTACCTCAACGATTAGCTGGTTTTAGCCAGATCATAACGGGAACTCATCGCTCACAGGTCACTGCTGCTCAGCCACCTAGAGCGCCTTGGGTTGAAAATCAATTTTGCCAAGAGCTCTTTGTCTCCCATATGTGCTAACCTTTCTACAAGAGCTGTTGGATAAGGGGCACACCCCTTCCACTCTCAAAGTCTACGTGGCAGCCATTGCAGCGAATCATGCTCTCGTGGCTGGCAAGTCAGTCTGTAAAAACGACCTTGTCGTTAAATTTCTGAGGGGAGCTCTGAGGTTGAACCCGCCTTGTCCTCATTCTGTGCTGGCCTGGGACTTATCTATTGCCCTTAGGGCCCTACGAGGCCCTCTCATTGAGCCGCTCCAGTTGGCAGATTTGCGGCACCTGTCGCTCAAGACCGCCCTCCTTTTGGCGCTAGCACCAGTCAAGCAAGTAGGTGACTTGCAAGCACTGTCAGTAAAAACAAAACAACAACAACAACATGCTACTACCAGTGCAGCATTTACCAGTGCTACCCTGAAATGTTTTAAGTTAGGGGTTCTTTAAGAAAGATCTACTATTGAAGTGTAATCGGTCACATGTCCAGGTGTGGCATGAGGGTACTGAACTAAGCTCTTTCTTTTTGCATTTGAATGTTTAAATTGGCAAGGTGGATTTGTTTGTTCAAGCACGAAGAGACGAAAAAGAGGACTCAGTTCGGTGTTTGCTGAGTATACACAGTTGAGGTTTTTTGTAATATTGTGCTTGAATGCTTTAAAATCTCTTGAATGTTTAAAATGGCAAGGCTTAAAAACATGTGCGAAAGATAAGCTTTCATGACAGCTGTGCTAGTGGCAGCAGTGGCCCATCAACTGTTCTGAGCGTCTTTAATGCTGGCCTCGGGCATTCGGTTGAAATTGCCGTGGGCCCCTATAATTGTCACCACCTTTCTAGCGATGGCCCTGGTTGAAACTGATGTGTTTTTTAATTATAAAATAAACTAGCTTGATATTGCACTGTGCAATCGTACAGGTTGCTGTTGTACAGTAAAAGTGGAAAAGAAGGACATTTATCGTTTAAATGCATACAGATCACTATAAAGCTGCTGTCACATTTACCGTTGTTTGGCGTATTTTCATGTACAAAATGCAGTAATTTCAGTAGGAATTTATTGGGTGACTTTGCATAAAGGCGAAAGTTTTCCACACCCAACTTTTTCATTGAAAGTGACTTCTGTTGTGCTTCATACGTATGTCCCTACACTGTTGACAATGGGCCTTTCCACTTTTTGCCAAAATTGCGCTAATGTGACTGCACCTAATTGTTGTAATTTTAAAAAGAAAAAAATAGAAGTTATATCATCATAAACAGGATGAAGCAACATAACATAAACAGTTAGGGCTGTGCAAAAAACCGAATGCGATTTTCATGTTCATCTCGTCAGTAAAGCCGGTTCTGTGATTAGTAGTAAATCTCTTTCAGATGGAGCAGCATTTACTACACAGTGCCGTAGATCACTGACAAGCTACGCAAAATCACGCTCATAATCGGCAATGAATTGATTTTGCGTAGCTTGTCAGTGAACTACGGCTCTAGTAAATGTTGCTCCATCTGAAAGCACGTGCTGGAGATTTACTACTAATCACAGAACCGGCTTTACTGATGAGATGAGCATAAAAATCGCATTCGATTTTTTGCACAGCCCTACAAACAGTTGATCTCAACAGAGATCTCAACAGTTTGGAAGCAGAACAGTATCCGTCTGTCCGAATACAACATATAAAACAACTGTTTAGGGTTAAAAAACTGTCATTAATTAGGCACAAACCCATACATGGAGACAGATTTAGACTTTCACTAAGGAGCAACTTTGGTTTCTGTTGTGATATATGTTGGATGTTTCTTCACAATAAGAGGATTGGTGGTTTACTGCAGAGTAGGCACAGCAAGCTTTTTTCATGTGCCCTGCGCCCAGCTGCACACTTAAAAGACCCTTACTTGCAAGGTGATAATGCAAAATGAAAAAAAGAAAAAGAAAAAGAAACATTATGCATGTTAATAACTTTCTCTATGGTTTTGGATTTTTATTTTTTTAAGTTTGTATCGAGATGTCTCACTTTTTGTTTGCATACTTAGTTGTGCAGAATCTTTTAGTTGCACTTAAAAATAAAACAAAAGCATGAAACAAACTGTGGTTTGCCCCATTATTTGCATGTTTCTTCCTGTCTATGTGAGCAATTCATCGCCAGAATAAACTTCAATGTGGAGCTTTATGGTGACAGTCAAACAAGTCTACAAGGGACTCACACAACAGACGGGAAGAAT